GAAAAATTTGGAAAGCAGTTGAAATATATGGGTCCATTACAGACACTTGACTCAACAATCCCTAAAAGAGAGTCACTGAATCTTCTATATCTACTATCTCTTAGACAGAGTAAAACCGAATTGTTTAATCCTTCTCTAGTTTATGGTTTTACTGCTATTTGTACAAGACCTATATGAAGATAGTTATAACCCCTTTTTATATGATCTGCAATCATTCTAGTTGAAAAGAGTTGAAAGCTATCTTGATTTTCCATAACTGAGAAAGTTTCTTCAATTTTTTTTATTGAAAAACTGCTTTTAAACTCAAATGTTCCCCTTTTATAAATATCATTTGTAGGGACCTTTGAAATATTCCAATTTTGCAATTGTTTCTCAATATTATCTATTATTATTTCTTCTCTATTATTTACTCGTAGAGTATTATTACTAGAACTACCAGAAGGGGTTCTATTCGATAGTGTTCTAAACAAATTAGCCATTTTATCTTAGTTTTCTTTCCCTGAGTCAACCGGAAACAGTCCCTGCACCTTATGGCCTTCCTCGCTCCCGGTGGTCTTTGGATCACAACGACTTTAGGTATGTTAACCAGATAAATGTACAAATTGGTTCAGTTTTCTACTGAATAAAACTAGCTCTAATACCATAAATAGGAGAAAAAACAAGACATAAAAGCTTCACCTTTCGGACCAAGAGATTCTGATAAATATATATATATTGTGTGTGTATTATTCCAATTTATACGTGTGTGTGTGTGTAAATTATTCCAATTTATACATACATTTACAGTATCCTCAGTTGTTACTATACATATATTGCAATTACCATAATGATAACCATAACGTATGTGCATGCATATACTTACAAATATGTATTATCAAATTTTTCAGAAGTGATATTTAAAAATAAAAGAATGAACAATCAATCTTTTAGCATTATCAATATGCTGAACACATGCTAATAAGAACTTTATAGCTAGAAAGTCCAATAAAAAATAATGAAATCCATGAAAGAGTACGGTTAAGAGTCTGTAGACACAAGCAAATGATCGATATTTGGGGAGATTTGGGTGAGATACAATGAATGCATAAAATGACATTAAATTGATGTTTAACACATAAAGGGCATTACAGAATCCAAGATAAGATTTATAATATAAACAAAAGCATTTAGATGAAAATTAAGAGAATAAATAACTCAATGAAAAATGTCATTACTCATACACTTTCAAGTAATATAACATAAAAAAAATCGTCAATTGAATAGACACTTTTGAAATGGTGAAAAGACTGTGTAAAAAAAATATGATGTACAAAATATTAATAATTAAAAATCAAGGAAAAACTTTTAGGGAATATTTGAAGTGACATGCATTAAATGCATGAAATGACACAAAAAGCATTACAAAATCTAAGAGAATATTTTTATTATTCATTATAGGTTCCAAATGAAGATGAAAAGAATAAAGCAAATGTATGAAATTATTCCATCATTATAATGCACTTTGAAATAATATGAAATAATAAAAATCATCAATTAAGTAGACAATTTGGAGGAGTGGATCAAGATCCTTTGCAGTCAAGGATCGAAATCCCTTTAAGTTAGAAACTGAGATCCCAATAGGTAGAGATCGAGATCCCTTGGTGGGAGGAAGCGAGTACTGCTTGGGTTCCAGCCCCAGGACAGCCAGATCAAAATTCCAAGAGGGCATCACCACCCCTTGACGAAGATCCCCGCAACTATGGGGGTACAGGTGGTGAAACTAAATATGAAGAGTATTCCTTTTTTATATCAGCGGAAATTTTCAGCTTGTGTACATGACCTTTATATGTTATTCTGGATGACTTTACTATTTTTGTTTTTTTTGAACTGTGATGACTTTACCTTTCCTAGTGGCTTATGAGTTAGTGAATGACAGTTATCCTTCTGTTGCTAGTTGAATATATAAAGGTATTTACTTACCCCAAAAAATATAAATAGATATAAAGGTGCTCGTGGTTCAATTGCTTTTAGCATGTTATTTTCTCTTGGTCATTGGTCGCATTGTCATCTAGATGAATGTCATTGCTAGCATTGTCATCTAGATGAATTGCAGCACCTCATAGATTCAACTAGATGATAATGCTGGAAGAAGAATACATTATTCAAACTTCCAGTAGTTCACTGTATTTTTTCTTCTTCGCCAATTTTCTCTACAAGTCTTATTTCTTCTGTAGATTCAAGCTGTACTTTTTGCTAATACCAACCAATTTCATTTTCCTTGTAGCAGGTCAATGAATATAGGAGAAATGGAGCTTTAGAGAGAGAGAAGGTGGATTTTGAATTTAGAGAGACGAGAGAATGTTCAGTTGTGGTGAATGCGGTCATCTGGGGAAATTTGGGAGAGGGAAGAAGCAGAAATGGGACAGAAATAGACAGCTTTTTTTTTTTTTTTTTTTGGGGGGCGAGGGGGGGGGGGCAGGTGTTCTGGGTCGAGAAAAAGAAGATTTCAAAAAAAAAAAATGGGGCTGAAACCTAAGGAGAAAAGATGGCAAAAGATGGCTTCCATTTTCTCTCTCTGACAAAGATTAATCAGTTTACTCCATTCTATGGAACTAGAGAGGGTAGAGACCTGTAGAGAGAGAAAAGAGATTGCGATGATGGCAAGAGAGAGAGAGGAGATGAAGTCAGGTAGAAAAGTGGGAATGAGGAAGAAAGGCCACTGGTGAGCCTACCTAATTAATTTTTGGACCCGGTTTCTATGCGGCCAAGCCCACATATGTAGAAATAAGGGCCTATTAATAAATCTATTTTTGAGATGGATTTTTGCACTTAATTTTTAAGGACATGTAATCTCTAACATGGAGATCATGAATAAGAATAAATAAATAAATTTTAAAAACTAGAAATAATAATTCTAGTAAGAAAACATTTGGACCATTAGTTTCCATTGTTTTTAGATGGAACACCTACTTGCATCCATCTTTAAGATAGATGCTTTACACTTTTTGGACTGCATATGTAGTCATGCAGTCCAGCCCGCATGAAACAATTTTCCTAAATTTTTTATTTTTCATTTACTAAAATGCCCTTCAAAATTGTATTATGGCTATATTGAAGAAGGGTTATTTTCGGTAAATAAACCATTCACACCTCTCTCTAAATGTAACCTCTTGTTTTTGAGGGGTGTGACCAGTAAAATATCCATGTGTGTGTGTGACACAAAAAAAAAAATGAGGGGTGGCATTTTCCTACAGTGTTAGCCAATGGGCTAACTAAGAAGCACACAGATACAAAGACATTGAAATAGGGTGAAATTGGGTGAGATTTTTACTAAACTAAAACAAATAACTCCATTTTTAATATTATAACAAATGCACCATGGAAAATTCCATAGTAAGAGAATACCATATCACAAGAAAGAGAATTGACATTTATCCTCGGAACATGATAGTCTTTTGATGGTCTTCATGAAACAATGGTTTCTTTTTTTTGAGAAAAGCTAACATATGAAACATTGGATCTATCTCTGATCTCCTATCAGTATCAAAGATATAAGAAACATATATATACATGCAGGTGTGTGAGGGCGTGCACACACACTACTGCAGTATAGTTAGTGAACATAAGCGTCTTTATAATTGGTAATTTATCTAGTCACATATCAGTTATCAAAAAATAATCATCTAAATCCCAAATCTAATGACCATGGATAATGATCCCAAGTTAAAATGGAATTGAGATTCCAAAAAATAAGTAGTCAGCTCCCAAGGCGGATCAGCTCGGGGAACGCATAACCCTGTTCCTGAAGTGGGATCATCCCCTAGGGAAGGCACTCAACATGACTATGGTAATCACATTAGACATCCACGTTTTTGACATACACACTGCAGGTTTAATGCCACATTTAGTGCTCGTTAGTCCCGAGTTTTACGGTAGGAACTGGGGACCATGTTCAAGAGAGAGCAGAATTTCGTGTGTGACCATGAAATCAAGTTGAATCATAGCTAGGACGATACCAACAGACAAATTTTCAAAATCTCAAGTCCATAAAAAGTAAACCAAGATACCTGTTGACAGAGGAATTTTCAAGAGCAACCAGAACAATGGCCAGCCACGTCTCCATGGGTTTCCTCACTTCTTGCACTGTCTAATGCATAGTTGTGGGAAACGTCTAAGACTCTTAGGAATCAGAATCGTGGTTGGCTAGAAGATTCATGTTTTCCGAATTGACAGCCGCACAAGAGAAACTACGGAAAACAAGATTCCTATTATATAGGAATCCAGATTCGACCCAAATGGAATCTAGAACCCTACATATATGGAACTGAGATTCTGTCCTCTTTAGAATTGTGTTTCTGATTTATTTGGAATTGACCCATATAGAATCTAGATTCTTCCATATACAGAATCGAGAATCTAGATTCTTCCATATACAGAATCGAGATTCTGATATCTTTGGAATTATGTTTTAGATGCTTCTGATAGGTTCTGAATTGTTTATTTTGTAGTTCATGGCCCTATAATTGTGTTTCTAATTTGTTGGGGGGAGTATCATTACATGTGGAATCCAGATTCAACAAATGCATAATCAAGATTCAACAATTGCGGAATTGAGATTCAATAAATATTAAAAAACGATATTCTATAAATATTGGAATCGAGATTCCTAAAATAAAGAATCAAGATTCCTGACTCAATGGAAATGGATTTTGTGAAGATTCCTTGTCAGAATCGCAGAATCGGAATTCCAAAATAGGAATCACTGAATCAAGATTCCGAAATAGGAATCACGACCTTGGGTGAGAGATTCCGGTAACTATGGTCTAATGTCAACATCACCATTTCCTTGTTCTTGTGGTGCCCCCAAATCATAGTCATCTAAACAACATTCTTGCATCCATTTTCCCAAAATTAAAAAGAAGAAAAGATAAATATATATTAATGGGCAAAAGCATGCAGTCCATATTTGTCAATAGCAGCCAAAAACAACCAGGACAGATTATTAAAAGCAGAAACCTCACCTTCGGCTCAGATACATCAGATACTTCTTCTCTTTGGTACTTTTCATAAGCCTCCGCATCATCCACAAACAAGCTAGCGTCCGATAGAAACAGCTCGCGACCACTATAGGTGATCCAAATTTGAAACAGTCAGCAAGACTATAGTATTAACACCCAAATTCGTTGTATAAAAAGATAAAAACTACCTCATGCGGTCATTCTTAGCTCTCTCAGCCCTCAAGGCAGCAAGACTAGCCTCCCTTGCTTCTGACTTCTTCTTCTTCCATTGCATGAATAGTTCAGGAGTAAGTGGCGTTGTAGTTGTTACTTTTGCACGCTGGAGAATAGCCGAACATTGTCAAATTTCATGGAGCAATAAAATATTGTGCCACTAAGGAAATGCTTTCATCCAAGAAAAGAACACAAACTTTTCTCTTTTTCCCAATCAATAAAAAGGCAGATACTGTTATAACAAGAAAACAGATTTATTACCTGGTTTTCAATCTCATCTTCGATAGATATCTTTTCCGTCTCTTCCTCCAATAAAGCCTTCATTTGAGACTTCAAAACATATCCCGGAGGGAGAGCATGCCTGTAATGACAGTCTTTCCCACCATTAGGACAAACCCAGAACCAGCCATATTGCTTCTTTTCCACTGCTTCAAGAAAATATTTACAGACCTGCAAATAAAATCCCAACACTTCAGAGAGAAAAAGCACCCAAAAAAGATAAGAAGAATTAAAAATAAGTAGTTCAACTTGTGTGCCACGCAAAACACCCAAGAGATGTAAAGACGACACATAAAGTATAAAACATTTAGTTAAAGTGTATGCAGTATAATTTCAGTTGATACTCATGCTGCTTTGGATTTCCCTAAGAAACGCTTCTTAATTGCAGGGCAATCAGTGCATAACAAAAACTCAAAGAGGGTAAAAACTTCCGGAAAGAGGTATACATAAAATGGGACAGTTCCAGAAACAGGTACACCCAGAAAATGAAGAGGTACACCAATAAGAACAAAGTTACCCAGTAAATATTATATGCATGGTATAATCGGATGTGTATCTCTTCCTCCACTCTGCACAGAATTAGATATTCCTAATTTCGAATTTTATCTAAAACATTAAGATTAGCTCAGTAGTCTGTCCAGGTATATTTTTTATTTGATTCTTAGATAACCTACTGGATCTTATGGGGCATTTACCTCACTTTGTACTGTGGAAACTTAAATATTACCACTTGAAGTACTTCTATATTCTGTTTACATGGTATTGAAGGGGCCAGGTTCTGAACTAGGTTATCTAGTAGCGCACAAATGCCATGTATTCAAGCATTCCCTCCAGCGACATTCACATAAAGAGAGCACAAGATGCTAAGGATTGCTATTCAATATAACTAAGAAGTACAAAAGGGCCACATCTTCTGAAAGGAACGAGGGCTTAGCAAACTAAATCAAGCAAACAATCCGATACCCTGGCATACAGCAGTGATCTCAATTTATTTCGAACGGCCACGACAATGAGTTATATCAACCGATACGTATTCCCGCAATACGTAAGTCCCGTTCCACTCATTAGAACATGAAGCAAATGAAAGTTGATAAATTCCTTATATTTCAAGCCCTGGGTTTAGTTCTTAAGGTTTGATTCCTTGGAGCAACTCCTCATTGAAGTTCCATCATGGAACTTCTCCATGCCGTCAAAAAGTTAGGACGCTTACAAGTTACATAATTATAACAAATAAACAAACATTAACCCCAGAGACACAATATCAAATGTATAAAAAAGAAAAACTAAAAAACTGAATAGAATAGTTCAAGAAAACCAAATTATAGAACAACTCATTTCACCACTCATAGTGACAAAAAGTCACATTTCCAGGAGATGCCAGTTGTAAACAGAGCAACCAACATGTTCACCATAGATTTCATCAAATCAAAATTACAAGAACCTGGAAACCTCTTGAATAAGCTGAAACAACAGTCATATAAGGTTTATCTTGTAGAAAATCCGCACTGCCCACAGCAGTCAAGTAACTGAAGGAGCTAAGAAGTCAACCCTGGGTTCCTCCGTATGTATTATTCTCTTTGTAGTTCTCTCAAAAAACAGTAAATCATCGATTCTATAACTCAATCCATGTGAACTCATATGATACACTATGTATAACTAGTTACTTTCTCGCCGTATACATGGGTATGTTTAAGTTAGGTGGCCTCAAGTAAACTCTCATCACTCTGAAAAGATCCAAACTTCTTTGTGTGCGTAATGTCTGATACATTCCATGTGCGTAATGTCTGACACATTCCAATCTTGAAGTATCAATTCCATAAAAATAGGTGGAATTAACACTTCCAGGAGATTGAAAGAGAGCCAAGGGCTCCAAAAACTTGCTGTAAGTTATATTTTTTAGAGTGGGTTAAGGTCTGCCCCAAAAAAGAACCTCAAAGCCTAGAGTTGTAATAATTAACATAATAATTGTATGCAATAATTATATAATTATAATAATTATATAATTATATATTTAAAAAACATTAAAACTGTTAACTCTTTATTAATGTGAGATTACTACAACATTTGTTCCCCCAAAGGCGGGGCCAAAAATAAAACAAATATAGATGGGTAATCCCACGCATGGAACCCAGGAGAAAGCCAGAACAAAAAGTAAAATTCGAAAACACAGACGGCAAATCCTTCCGGTTACAGTCCTACTCTTTTACAATCGAATTAATAGAGGCACTTTCTTTCGCAAGGGTAACCGCCTCTACTCTCGCGCCAAACATGGCTCCAAGAGATAGAAATTCCCGAACAGAGATGGGCAATTTCTTCAAAGATCAGCGCCAATGCCCAGAAGTAGGGGACTACTGCTGAGGCCCAGCGGATGGCATTGCTGGAATCGCCTTCGGTGATGAGGGGGCAAGACCAATGTAAGTGCAAAACGAAGACTCGCAAACCTTCAAGGAGGGCGAGGGCTTCCACTGATTGGGTATCATCATGACCGATAGATTTGGAGAATGACGCGAGAATGTGGCCATCATTGTTCCGGAAGAGACCACCTAACCAGCCTGGCCTGGATTGCCCCGGGAACAACCATCAAACTTGAGCTTGATGGATCCCGCGCTGGGGAAGGACGACCAGTGGGAGGACCGACAGACCCTGGGCTGTGAAAGGTGTAGGAGAGGTTGCCAATTGAGCTGGAAAGCAGACCGAAGGACGCCTTCGAAGAGTTTGTGATTAGAGGCCCAAAAAGAGACTAGGGACTTGATATGATCGAATGGTACTTCGGGGACTTGTCTATGCCTTGGAAGATACGATTGTTTCGCTCAATCCAAATAGACCAGATTAGAGCAAAGATCGAGGCCTTCCAGAATAAGCGACCCGACTCCACCCAACAGTGAAATTGCAAACCAGAGAAGAGACACGGGATAGATTGGGATATATAACTATATAATTTTTTATATATAATGTATAATAATATATATGATATTATATAATATTATAACATATATAAGATACAATAAAAATTTTTATTATAATACTATATCATAATGCTTTAATATATATAGCAATATATAATTAACACGCATATTATAATAGATATATAATACTATAATATATAATTAATATAGAGACTATAATATAAATGTTAGTATATAATACTATAGAATTACATTTTATAACTTACAAGAGACATCTCCCAGGCAATCCAAACAATGGACAGGCATCTATCAGGTCTCTTACCAGATCAACCCAAACAACAGACAAATATATTCTAGGAGATACCAATTCTAGTAGACAGCAATTCTAAGAGAAGCATCTCCCCAAGATACCCATTTCCAGGGAACCAAATGAGGCCTTAATAGTAGGCTAGAGATGAAAGCAGGGATCAGTCCCCCACCCCAGTCCCCTGCTCTTCTTTACCACCTTTTTTCTTCTTCCAACACCATCCTTTACAAAACCTTAAAGGAAAAAAAAGGCCTAGTACTTATCCAGACACGTAGGCAGTCCAACCATAGTTACCGGAATCGCTCCACAAAGCTCATGTTTCTGGTTCCAAAACCCGATTCCACGTTTCCATTAAGGAATCTCCACATAAACCGTTTTTCTGAACCAAGGAAATTCGATTCCTTAATTTCGGAATCTCGATTCGACACATCTTTATAAAACTGTTTTCGGAACCAAGGAAACTCGATTCCTTAATTTCGGAATCTCGATTCCTTAATTTCAGAATCTCGATTCAATACATCTTTAGAAACCATTTATCCGAACCAAGGAAACTCGATTCCGTAATTTCAGAATCTCTATCCAACACATCTTTGAAAACTTGAACCTATTAATTGCGGGTAGACGTTCCCAAATATATCGAATTTGGATTCTAGCGAGAATTAAATCTTGTTTCGATGTCAATTGGAGTAGAAATTTTCCTTCGAATGCTTCTAGTGGTTGCAGGGTTTCATTATTTTACTTGTGCTACCCTGGATGGCCTTTACTTTAAATTTAAAATATAATTGATAAATACAACACATACAATTAAAAGTAAAAGCATGGCGTAGACATAATCCTATTTTGTCTTTATAATAACGGTGTGGTTTGTATAAAACCTAGGCTCTAAACAATCAAATTAGAGCCTACCTTCAAATAGTGTCGAGAAATATGGTTTCCATACTGGAAATGTTTTTGATAGCCTTAAAATATATTTTTCATCTTTATTTATAAAGTTTAAAGCTTAAAAAATAGTGTAGATCAAGAGATCTATGAAAACTTGAAAATCATGAAAATTGACGATCCAAAAGTGCGTTACAAAATACACTATTTTCAAAACTTGAAATCCATTTTTTTTCTCATGTCCATGCATCTTGATGTCGAGATGATGAATTTGAGGATATTTGGGCATCTAAACAATCTCTTCTAGTGAAATTTTTTAGGTAGGCTCGAATTTGATTGTTTAGAGCCTCGGCTCTATATAAACTTTTCCCTTATAATAATGAAGCCAAAATCACAATTTAGGAATACTTGTCTTTTGTATATAATGACCATAAGTTCAATAGTCAACACAATCACTTTAAAATTCGGGAAACCTAATAAGAGACATCCAATATAGGTTCTAAAGTTGATGAGGCTCAAGATGTGCTTGTGGCTTCCTTCTCTATAAAAATAAAATCCTGATTCCTGGTAGGGTTGATCAAACATATTCCATAGTCCATATTATTGTAAATATCGATCTCAAACTAGCATTGATCTCTGATTTATATACTTTAAAAACTTGATTCCAAATATGTTAGAATCACAATTCGAAACAACAACATATCTATGTTCCACATATGTCAGAAACTCGATTCCATAGATGTCGGAAACTCGATTTTGCATATTAAAGAATCTTGACTCCTGGAGTGTCGATTCCAGGGGAATGGGAATCCTGATTCCAAGGAGGACAGAATCTATTTCGGTCGAAACACGATTCTCAAAAACTAGGAATCTCGTACCTAGCAATTCCTATTGTACGTACAACGATTCCTAAGACAGAAATCTTCTAGTCAGCCGCGATTCCAGCTCCAAAAACGATTTGGGTTCCCAGGTGTTTCCAACAACTATGAGTCCAACTAATATAAGCAACTACTATGAAGCCAATCTAGCCAATGCCTCTGGGAAGTGCCAAGGCTACTAGTAGACCCCATTAGTACAAT